CAAGCACATAGTCGTCTGGGACAGCATACCTTCCAGTACGTCCCAAGAAAGACTCGAAGAGATAATGAAGCCATTTTGCGAGATGGTCCCTTATACGCTAACCGAGTGCGCTACCAGCGACGAAATACGGGTCAAATACGGGTTGGAGCCATACACATTTGAGAGAATTAAGGAAATACCCACGGCCAATAGAGGTGATTGTGGCGTGTACGCTCTAAAGTACATCGAATGTCATGCTCTTGGGGTCCCCTTTACTAAACATTATTTTTCTAGGTCCAACGCAAAGCAAATGAGGGATAAGATGGCAATCGATATATTTACGGAGCTTCCTGACCAGCATTTGAAAGAAAACGTGGACGCTGATAAGTTCTTGGGATTGTATGATTTTGTATAGATTAGGCTGATGCTTGTGTTTGAACTTGATGATGTGTTTGTATGATGGACAACTTATATTTTTGTATATTAACCTTTTAAAATTAAGTCGTCTTATAATCTTTTGGTTGTGCAATTTGACAAAGAAGTTAATACATAGCCTAAACACTAGACGACATAATTGTAGGTCGTCTGGACGACTAATCAACACTAGACGACTTAACTTTAAGTCGTCCAAAGGACTAGGTAACAGTGGACGACTTAACAACACTAGAAAACTTAATTATAGGTCGTCTGGACGACTAACCAACACTAGACGACTTAAATTTAAGTCGTCCAGATGACTAGGTAACAGTGGACGACTTAACAACACTAGACGACTTAATTATAGGTCGTCTGGACGACTAACCAACACTAGACGACTTAAATTTAAGTCGTCCAGACGACTAGGTAACAGTGGACGACTTAACAACACTAGACGACTTAATTATAGGTCGTCTGAACGAGTAAACAACAATAGACGACTAAATTCTAGGTCGTCTGGACGACTAATCAACCGGTTTCTTACATTGTGGTTTCGTATGGCCAGTTTTCTTGCAGTTTGAGCATCTATACACCTTGTGTTGCTTCCGGGGTTTGCGTCCTTTCATCATGGATAGCTCCAACCAAGATTACCATCTTGATTTCTTCTGTTTCCCTGGACCACGCTTTACCTCCGGAGGGAAGCATGTGCGTTCCTCAACTTGTTGTCCAGCACAAGGAAATATATTCTCTGAGTATCCTTCAAACAATACTCCTTTGAGTACACTGGATGTACAAGTGTGGATATATGCAAACGTGCAAATGTACCAGCAGCTATAGCATGAGAACAAGGTATTTTCTCCACTTGGTAGACACCACAATCACACTTTCCATGTTCCAAATCAACCACACAATCCATTTTGCCACCTTTCACAAAGAATCGCCAACCATCAATTGGTTGGGCCCTCATCGTATCCGCTATCTCCTCTCGAACAGCAAGCAAGTATTCAACACCCCGACTATGTTGAGTTGGGAGACTCAAAGCATCTTCTCTCCTTTTCCAATACCACTTTCCTAGTTTCTCCCTTATGAACTCCAGCAGAAACTTAATCGGAAATCCTCTAGCTCGCTTCAGTGCATAATTAATAGATTCAGCGATGTTGCTTGTTTTTATGTTGTACATGTCCCCCTGACAATAAACCCTTGTCCATAGGCTGACGTCGGCATTCACCAAATACGTTGCAAGGTCTGGGTTTGCACTATTTATCTCAGCCATGTACCGGTTAAAATCTGAAACCGTATGAGCATAAGCAGCACCTTTCACCAAGTACAAGAGATGTTTCCCTTTATACTTTTTGACTATGTTATCTTGAAGATGATAATAACATATTCTTCTCACTGCCCAAGGAAACACCTTATCACACGCACTTTTAATGGCTGTATGCCGGTCGGAGACTATCACTAGAGGCTGGTCATCAGATATACAAGTAGCCAATTTTGTGAAAAACCATTCCCCAGAAGGGTCATCTTCAGCATCTACGATCCCAAAAGCCAATGGAAATATCTGAAAATTCCCATCTTGTGCGGCTGCAACCAACATAGTATCCTCATACTTCCCACTTAGGTGAGTCCCATCCACCACAATGACCTTTCTCTGATCCTTAAAACCTTTGATAGAAGCTCCAAAAGAGAGAAATAGATACTTAAATCTCTTCATAGAATCAAGTTCTATAGCCGTGACAGAATCGGGATTTGCTAAGGAGATTTGCTCGAGATATGATGGCAGATGCGAATACCCATCTTCTGCTGTTCCTCTCACCAATGTTTGTGCATATAACAGTGCCCTGTATGAAGTGGTGTAATCAAGCTCCATGCCAAACATGTTCTTCATTGCATCTTTGATATGCTGCGGAGTCAATCCATCAATGATTCCAACATGATCAATGAAAAGCCTACCAACATACTTCGGAGTACAGTTTCTCCGCTGAGCGATTTGGTCTCCCACTGAGCATGTATGTGTTTCCACATATTTTGTTATCCAAAACGTGTTTGTCCCATGTTTCACACTCGCTCTTATCTTCCATCCACAACCACTAACCCGACATGTTGCCACAAGGAGAGTTTTCGTTGACTTGTATATTCTGAAGGAGAACTTACGCCTCACTGCTGTCAACCTCAGCTCTGAAAGCAGTGCATCCTTGCTAACAAAACTCTGGTTGACATAGATACCGTTACCATTCGATCGTCCTCCTTCAATAGCATATGTATCTTTGTAATCTTTAAAAAACCACATCATCATCTTCTTCCTCATCCTCATCTCTAACATTTCCATAAACACTATAATCCTCACCATTCTCATCCGCTTCAGCAACATTAGAGCAAACGGAGATTTCAGCATCCTCCTTCTTATCATCCTCCTCCCCATCATGATTTTCATCTTCAACCAACTCATTATCACATTCATCTTCAAAACATTCATCAGCTTCATCATCTTCAAACCATTCATCAGCTTCTTCCCTTTCCTCTAAAAGCGTTTCCACCTTGCTACGGCTTGATACACAAAGACATACTCTATGAGTTTTGAGTATCTCGAGCAAGTTACGAACTTGTCTATCACTTGTAACATTAATGGGAGGGGTGTCTTGAGCCATCATCATTTCTGCTGGTAATGAGTATCTAATCTCCACAGTGATTGTGCTCATGTCTAGGTTATAATCTTCTTGTGCTATTGCAACAAGTTCAACATGTGTTGAATCTTCATTCAATAAAAACAATCTTGCTCCTTTGAGATCATCAACCACAAAATCCCAATGGCAATCTTTCAACAACCATTCTCCATACACTGCATGTAACTGACGAATCATCTGCAAAAATTCAAAATAAAACAGATTAGTAAACATAGAGAATTTCATGAAAGTTTACTAAACATTGACGCAGACGACATACCAATAAGTCGTCCAATGAGGTCATTTTTGCAATTGAAATTTAAATGGGACGACTTAATTCTAAGTCGTACAGCTTTGTTTGTTAACAAAAAAACACCAGACGACTTATAATTAAGTCGTCTATATAAACCGGGCTACTTTTGCATTTGACCGAATTGTGTAAGATATTTGAATTTTTCTGGACGACTTACAATTAAGTCGTCTATGGGAAAGTTAAAATATCAATATTTTATTAAATCTAGACGACTTATAATTAAGTCGTCTGAGGTTAGTTTTGCAATTCAAAAATAAAACATAAATTTTTAACTTCTCCCAGACGACTTAATTGAAAGTCGTCCGATCAGACGACTTATGTTAAAGTCGTCCAGGATAAGCAAGGTTTGACCAGAAAACTCGGAAAATATTCTGGACGACTTTGCTTATCCTGGACGACTTTAACATAAGTCGTCTAATCGGACGACTTTCAGTTAAGTCGTCTGGGAGAAGTTAAAAATTTAAGTTTTAGTTTTGAATTTCAAAACTAACCTAAGACGACTTATCCGTAAGTCGTCTAGATTAAATAAAATATTGAAATTTTAACTTTCCCAGAGACGACTTAATTGTAAGTCGTCCAGAAAAAGTCAAATATCTGACACAATTCGGTCAAATGCAAAAGTAGCCCGGTTTATCTAGACGACTTAATTATAAGTGATCTGGGTTTTTTTTTTAACAAACAAAGCTGGACGATTTAGAAGTCAGTCGTCTGTTTGAACAGAAGACTTATCCGTAAGTATTCTACATCCAGATGACTTACGGGTAAGTCTTCTACGCGAACAGATCTGGTAAAAATTCAATTTCAGACCTTAAACTAGGTGAGATGACTTTCTTTGCACACAGAGTCTTCTCCAACCACCCAGAACATCAAACGAAAGTAACCCACCAAAAATTGTATGCTTAAATGGCTCTATCAACCATAAAAAATTTGCTATCAAAAGCTTGGGTTTTTGGTATGAATATGGAGACAAAGTGAAGGAGATGTTGTTTTTAGTTCATAACAATTGAGAAAGAGAGTATGGGTATCGATATTAAGTGCATTAAAAGCTTCAAACCTTGGTTCTACAAGGTTGTTGGGTTGTATAAGGTTGTTGGGAGTATTCATGGCAATGGCAATGTTGTAAATACTTAAAGATGATGAGGTTGAGAGAGTAAAAAGGCCATTTTCGAAAAAAGATTACAAAAAAAAAATTAATGGCATAATAAAATGAAGATGTGGGGTGAATAAGACAAAAACAAGATGAGTCAAAAGAAGAAGTTAGTTTTGTGTTTGACTTTGAGTTTTGAGTCTATTTTGCAAAACCCCACATATATATATATATATATATATATTTATGAAATAGTTTAACAAATGTCACAATCATAAATATATATTTTCCTTGTGTCACAATTTTGTTAATTAATAACTTTGAAGAACCAAGTTTTATATAATAAGATATATTTCGGGATGAAAGATAACATTTTCTATTATGTTCAAAAAAACAAACATACCGAATTTTGATAAGTTTGTTAGTATAAGTTAAGCTTGAAACCTAGTGAGTTTAAACAAAAAAAAAAACCTAGTGAGTAAGAATAATAACAGTTTCTTTAATTCTGAATGAGCTCCTAGATCCAACCACTGCTCCTTGTCTACCACAGTAGCTTCTCCATTATTGAATCCATACAACTTCTTACCTATACAACAACAACAACAACAAAGCACAATTCAATTTTTCAGTAACACAATTGAGTAGATGCTCACAAAAATATAGTTCCAAATCAACAATCTGAAACCTCACAAGCTAAAGTTTCAATTTATAAAAGCACGTAAAAATTAAAAAAAAAACTACCATATATTCACAATTTGCTTAGCAGAGACAAAGAAAGTTTATATTTTACTTGATGCAACAACTCTCGTTTGCCAAGCTTGGATCGTTCATGCTCCATCTGCATATCCATCAACATGTTCATCCTTCGCAACTCAAGCTTCTTTGCAGCTTCCATCCTCTGCTTCTCCAACTTATTCATCATCGCACCTTCGATCCTCACGTACACCTCTCCCAACTTCAAAAACGCTCTCGCCAGCTCCATACACGAAGATTCTTCACCTCCACTTGGATCCACATTCTCTACTCTCCGATGCTTCCTCATCACAATCGCCCAATCACCCATCTTATCATCATCATCCTCCAAAGAACTTCCACATGGGGACGTGTTTCGATGCAGAGAGTCCCGTCGCATTCGAGACGAAACCTGACCAATTCGGTTAGAGCAAAGTGGAAATCAGGTGAGAGTCGTTGCTGGTAGTAAACCATAATAATAATAATCAGATCTCAAAAAAGGAAATGAGATAATAAGAGAGAGGGATCCGAGACGAACTGAAGCTGAAGGCGAAACCAGAAGAAGACATGAGCTGTTTGTTAGCCATGATGATGCCAACAGAGCTGATCACATTCATCACCCAAGCTCCCTCCTGGAATTTATAAGAATTACGAAGAAAGGATGAGTTCAAAGGGAAAAATCTTACGCATATTTATAAGGAACCCACACAGTCTCTCAGATCTAATCAGCGCTTAAAGACACATCATGGAGGAGGGATTTAATGGCATTGAAGACGAAGACATTAATCAGACAGTTTCAGTCATGAGAAGGATCGCAATCGTCCCCACCTCCAGCCGCACGAAGATGAGAGATGAACGCTGGGTTAGAGGGAGATCGTTCTTTTCATGGGCCGTAAAATATCCTAGTGAAACCCACAATCAACCAATAAGCGAACAAAGTCCACGACGCCATCAATTAAATGAAACGTTGCACTCAGAAGAAGAGGACATGTGTCGCCTTACGGAGAAGCTATTTAGTGAGGTGGCAGAGCTGTAGAGAAGAAAAAATCTACTTTATACAATAAGATAACACCATCAGTTTTGAAATTGTAATTAATTAATTTAAAATAGTTTTAATACAGTAGAATCTGTAAATAAAAATACAAAAATGAAATATTTAATTTATTGTAAATACAATGACTAAATATGTAAATAAAAGAAAGTACTAAAAAGACATTACTATTCATGTTTCCAAACAATTCTCATATTTATATTGTTATGTTTAGAAAATGTTTCCAAACAGTACCAAAAGATAATTCAGTTTTGATGATATAGATTTAAGTCAAGAACACTTTAAAATGTAGCATCCAACATATCTTCACTTTTTAGGTTAGAACGGATAATAATATTATCAAAATAATATACGTGATTCACATTCCTGGAGTAAAATGTCAATAAATCTTTGATTGATAAACAAGAAAAAATAAAGATAGCTGCTGCACTTTATTAATAAAAACAAACACTGATAAATCAATTGAAAGTTGAATAGAAAAGGGAGGTGGAATTATTGAAAGTTGTCTCTTAATCATTTTCTTTAGCTAGATCTTCCGCCAAATACCACTCTTTTGATACCTTCAAGATGAACGTTGACAATGTAATTCTTCCAGTCAATGCATCTTACATCGAACCCAAACATTTTTATCTCTTCCATTGACATCTCCTGAATCAGACTCCTTGTATTGGTGTCATCAAACCTGTAGTATTAACTATTTAGGTTAGTAATCTGATTCTCTTACTTTTCTTAGTTAAAGTAGCAAGTACAAGTAATGTTATTTACCAAGCTTGAAAGAATAAGTAAGGCTGATATATTTTTGCTAGGGACTCAAAATACTTTAGCTTCCTCTTGCCCTTCATGGTCAATGTGGTATGTGGCTCTGCTTCTCCTTCTCCATTCTTGGCCTCTCTTTCTTTTTTTACTATAGTGTTGGATACGGAAGAGGTGAAACTTTCTATAGAACTGTGGAATTTTATACAATCTAAGTCTTTAGTTGTTTCTCTCAATGGAGAGTCACGCAGATGTTGTTGAGAGAAGTCCATCAACTCGCCAAGTCGCAAGGGGTTTGGATGAGATGTTGAAGTGACATTGTAAAGTTTGAGCTCTGGTACATTACCACAACCGTGCTTTGCCATGGCTGCTATAGTTGCGTTCACAACCATATCAACAGGTATCATATCCCAGTAAGATTGATAATCTCCCAGCAAGTGAGGGATGTGGTCTTTTCCATAGGCCAAGATTAATGGAGCACTCATCCTATTGTATTTTTCATTAATAAATCATCAAATGTCTATTGAAACAAAAGCTACTCCATTCCACAAAAATATATTTTCTTAATATTCACATATTTAAAAATTAAATTTTTATCATAAGAATATTATTTTATGATTATCCATTTTTAATAAAGTTAAACCGATATGACTTAAATAAAAGCAATTAATTTTTAAATTACAATTTACTATTATTAAATAATAAAATCTATATAAATATTAAAAAAAATTATCCTTGTAAAACGAATGTAATGTTTCTTAATAGTTTATTGTCTTGGAAAAGGAAAATCCTAACCTGATTCCTTGGAGCCAGCCAGGGAAAGGCTCCTTGTATGAACTTTCGATAATACTCGGCCTTATGATCACTACAGGGAGATCTCCTCTTTGGCTGTGAATTATAGACTCACCCATGGCTTTTGTGAATGTGTAAGTGTTTTCCCATCCATATTGTTGAGCTCTGGTTTATCATATGATAAAAATTACGGATATTGGTACGTAAGAATGTCTAGAAAGAAATTAGAGTGTTTCTCACTGATCCTCACCTTTCCATACCAAGTTCTTTCAGTTTTTTTATTTCTTCACTGCCATGGAACATTCTTACAGCTTCTGAAGCTAATTTCAGTTCAAATTCGATGTTCAAGTCAGAAGTTATGTTTCCTCCAATTGAGAGAGTAGTCTCTGGTACTTTATCTTCTTTCTTGCCAGTCACGTAAGCTATTAACAAGGAGACAAAGCAAGTTTGGAAACTTTTCGTAACATAAACTATCTCGCAAAGATATAAACTCTTACCAGTTGAATAATGGAGAAAAAGTTTCAGTTTTTTGCAGTCCTTGGCAAATCTCAAGAGCCGACCAGGTCCAAGGGCGTTGACATTTAAAGCAAGGTCGTTTCTGTTTTCGTTTGCTTGGCTTAGAAGCAAGTGTTTGTTTGCCAAGGAAAACAAAAACAGACCAATAGAAAGAATTTAAGTACCTGTCGTCAAACGTTGTGCGACCTCCACAGCCAATAATGACATCAATCTCATCACTAATCATGGCTGCTATTTCAGAGTCGAACCCTAGATTTTCTTGTGCAATATCTCCAATTACTGGAATCAACTTGCTCTTCATGAAGTCTTCATAAGAGCTACCGTGGATTTGCTTCAGAAGCTTGAACAGATCCGAGCTTATGATCTGTTGGATACAGAATTAAAGAGACAAAAAGAGTTTGAGTAAATCGACATGATCATATTCAGGGTTGCTCCTCGACAAAGCCTATTGGCTCCAATTTTTTTTAAAAAAGATTAATATGTAAAGTTTATCGTTCATAATTATACGTTAAGTTTTTCACTAAAATCTTTATGACCCCCTTAATTTAGGGTCTACTCGTGATATTGAAAACTAACCTCATCATAGAGCCTCTTGTTGGCTGATTCTTGATCATTGGCTTTTATCAAAAGAAAGATCTTCCCAATCTCGGGACTTGCCCTTAACAATTTCTCAATCAGCACTGCAAACAAACAAAAAGAAAAACGAAATAAGTTTACTTGGACTAGAAGAAAAGTCAGCTTTAGGGAAACTACCTTTAGCAAGAAACCCTGTTGCGCCAGTAACGAGATAACTTTTCCCTTTCAAGAAACTGATGATTCCAAGTCCATCACTAACACCAGTTGTTTCTGTCTCATGCATGGTAATATGTGTCATAGGTTTCAACAACGTCTCACCATAACAACAACAAGTTTGGACTTTACGAGAAGTCAGTGACAAACGACGATCCAATAAGAAGTTAGGTTTGCCAGGGAAAGAGGAGAATAAGTTGACACCATCCACTCTGATGGCATTGCTGGTAGCTAAGAGATTAGTGATTGCCATTTTTAGTAACAAATGAGAAGAAGAAAGGAATGCTTTTTTTTATCGAATGAAAGGAATGCTTTTAATTTAGTTTTCTTTGAAGCCTTGGAGTGTTCTTGTGTGAGGAGGATATATAGACAGTGTAAAACGAAACGATGGATTTGATTATTGGATCAGGATCATATTTTGTATAATTTATTGACATTTTGTTTATAATTTCATGTTGTCGCCTTGTGGAAAACAAGCTCTAGAAACATTAAATTATGTCTCTAGTATTCAAATTTCAATATGTTAACAAAGAATTTCTAGTATTGTCAAGTTTATGAAGTCTTTGATCCAGCCAGGTTCGTCAAATAGAAAACTATCAGTGATTAAGGGGAAGCTAATGCATGGAATATAATATAAACATGTGGAGTGCCTGCTTACTATTAATAGTTGTTGACAAAAAATATGTGGACCCTCTAATTAGTTATTAATTTAGAAAATATAATTAAAATTGGAAACATTTTAAACATACAAAATACTTCTATTAAAATTTTGCTTTATTAATTACAATCTTTTTAACAAAGACACATAATTAATAATTAAAATATCATATATCTTTAAAATATTTTACAAATTCAAACTCAACAGAATTGTTTAGAAAATCGTTACGACTCCTAGATGCGGAGTGAGCTTTGGGGCTTCATACTACGTTCGTCCTCCCTTCTAAACCGACAGAGACCATGTGTTCATTGAAACCGGGGTTGAAAATGTTAAATGTTCACTAAACGTACGATAACTTATCGATTTATCATAATCTTTATCATATGATATGTCGAGTTTCAACATATTATTAGGTTCCTCCACTATATCAGTTTTCTCGAGTTTTTTTTAACTGGCTTTAAGTTTTCTCAGTTTCTTGGTTTAGTTCAGAATACTGGTTTTGTTGGATCATACGTTTACAATTTTTATGCAGGCGCATAAGAGCAACATTATTGATAAAGTCCTTAATTAGTTCTTAAATTTTTTTTGGTTTTTATCCAATTTTTTTTTAAATAAATAAAAACAAATTAATCGTGGATCACCACATGTCAATGGAGCATGCGAACACTGCAAGAACCAAATCAAAATGTCTCCTAGTTAAGCTACTTCTCTTTTTAGTTTTTGTGTTTATGTGGGTTCCTTCCCATCCTTTCTCCTTAAGGACCAATTAAAGACTGGTAATAATGTTGCTTTAAAAGAGATAAAAGGTGTAGTGACTTTTTTTTTTGAACTTAGGTGTAGTGACTTTATAGAGATATATCTCTCTGTATCTCATTGATTAAAATTCATGATTTATAGAAAAACATTAGAAAATTAGATTAAAAGAAATTTTAAAGAATTTACAGAATATTGTTGAGAGTATCTAGGATAAGGATATTCTATGTATAAGTTAGATTACGATAAGTACTAGCTATATTTGTGTATATCTTGGGTCTGTCGAGATGTATATATATTCTTGTACGATAGTTGATGTGAATACAAGTGATCTTCTCATACTTCTCTTGATCTTTCATGGTATCAGAGCCACCAAAATATTTTTTTAGGGTTCATTGACAAGAGAAGAAGAAGGAGAAGATGAGTGATGGAAAGTCGATAGTGAGTTCATCAACTATTGCTGAAGATCGAACCATGTCACCATACTACTTAGCTCCTGCGGATAATCCGGGGATGGCTATCACGCCGGTTGTCTTGACCGGAGAGAACTATGCCGAGTGGGCATCAGAACTCGAGAATGCGCTGCGTGCCAAGCGTAAGATTGGGTTTGTAAATGGGAGTTTGAAGATTCCTGATGAGACAGAGAAACCATTGGAGGTGAAGATGTGGAGGACAGAAAACTCCATGATTGTTGGGTGTATCAAAACGTCGATCTCTCCAGTACTGCGATCGACGATTCCTTTCTCACCTGATACCTGCAAGTTGTGGGCAGACCTGAAGAAACGCTTCTCTGTGGGAAGTGTCGTGAGAGTCCATCAGCTCAAGGCGGAGCTGGCTTCGTGCAAGCAGGATGGATCGAGTGTTATGGAGTATTTTGGGAGATTGTCTCAAAAGTGGGAAGAGTTGATGAATTGTAAACCGATTCCTACATGTACGTGCAATGCTGCTGATGTCTATGCAAGAGAATACGAAGAAGAGAAGATTCATCAATTCCTCATGGGGTTGGATGAAGCGAGATTCAGTAACGTTTGCACTAATATCATTGGTATGGAGACACTGCCAGATCTCAACTCTGTTTATCAGAGAGTTGTGCGAGAAGAAAAGAGAATAGGAGCTACTCGAAGTGAGTCCAAGGAGACACCGGTGGGATTCACAGCAAAAGTGGTGACGAAAGAAGAAGAGGATACTGCAACAGGGGGAGCAACGACAGTGAGAAGCCGATCGTCTGCAGTTTGCAGTAACTATGGTAGAGGAGGACACGAGAAGAAGGAATGTTGGCAGATTATAGGGTTCCCTGAGTGGTACACAGAACGAAACTAGAATGGAGGAAGAGGAAGCAGAGGAGGAAGAGGACGCGGTAGATTTAACTCCTCTCGAGCGAATGCAGTGCAGGCTCAAGGTACTTCTTCACAAGGATCATCAGGAAACCATCCTTAATTCATACCACAGCTTACTCCCGATCAATGGGCATCACTCACAGCCCTCCTTGAGCGTCAAAAGTCATCTCCAATACAAGATCGGTTAAACGGTACGGTACAAACTGGTGAAGTTATAATTGATACCGGAGCATTGCATCACGTGACAGGGGATAGGACACTTCTCAGTGACGTCCATAGTGTCATTCCTTGTCCAGTGAGCTTTGCAGATGGTAGTAATGTCATGGCCATCAAGAGTGGTAACTTGAGACTGTCATCGAGCCTGACATTGGAAAACGTTCTTTATGTTCCATTTGAACTGTACTCTGTTATCAGTAGCAAAGTTGCTTAAACAGACTGGTTGCTTAGCCGTATTTACAGACACTTTGTGTATTTTGCAGGACCGTTTTACGAGGACTCTGATTGGAGCCGGTGAAGTTAAAGATGGTATTTATGTTTATCGGGATGTCACGGTGATGAGAGGTCACAGAGTTAAAGCTTCTGAAGATCAGGCTGTGTGGTATCGTCGTCTAGGGCATCCTGCTTATGGTGTTTTGAGTTTTTTGCCTTTTATTTCTGGTGTTAAAGACGTCCCAAACAAGTTTGGTGGATGCGACATTTGTTTTCAATCAAAACAGACTAGAGAAGTGTTTCCTGAAAATCTTAATAAAAGTTTGGGGATTTTTGATTTGATACATGTTGATCTTTGGGGTCCCTATCGCATACCATCATCGTGTGGGGCTGTGTATTTCTTAACAATCGTGGATGAGTTTTCCAGAGCTGTGTGGATCCATCTCTTGCTTGAGAAGAGTGAGGTTAAACGAGTATTACCAAACTTCATTGCTCTTGTACACCGACAATTTGGTAGCATGGTCAAAAAAGTGAGAAGTGATAATGGAACAGAATTTATGTGCTTGACAAAGTATTTTGAAGAGAAAGGAATAATGCATCAAACATCTTGGGTTAGTACTCCTCAACAGAACGGGCGTGTGGAGAGAAAGCATCGCCATATTCTGAATGTCGCACGCTCAATCCTGTTCCAAGCCAATCTACCGGTACGTTTTTGGGGAGAGAGCGTCTTGACAGCAGCACATCTTATAAACAGAACTCCCACGAGGGTGCTTGGAGGAAAGACGCCTTATGAAGTTTTGTACAAGAAAGTCCCCATGTACGATGACATTAAAACCTTTCGGTGTTTGTGTTTTGTACACCATGCAAGGAGAGATAAGGACAAGTTTGGGATGAGAAGCAAGAGGTGTATCTTTGTGGGATATCCGTTCGGGAAAAAGGGCTGGAAGCTGTATGATATGGAGAAAGGAGAGTTTTTAGTGTCTAGAGATGTGGTGTTTGAGGAGACTAGTTTCCCATTTACATAACAAAAAGAAGCTGAGAGTAGTGTTCTTCCTCGACTAGACCTTGGAGTTCATGATGAAACTGATCCAGAAGTAACGATAGAGAGGGGGAGAAGTGGTAGTACTCCCGACATCAATGCGGAACAAGCTGGAGAAACAGAGGATGTAAGTGTACAAGAAGCAGTTCCGCCGGTTATGACAGAGAATGTTCCTGGAGCTTCTCAGCCGGTGGTGATGGAGGAGCTAGGGCGCGGTCATCGTAAACCTACCCCATCAGTTAAACTTCGAGATTACGTCACATATAATGCACGAGTATGTCATGATAAACAAAATTCCATCGCCGCTCTTCAATCAGAGGCACTCTCTACGGTTCCAGGTAAAACAAAATGTTTGTATCCCATTACAGATTATATCACTGATGAGAATTTTTCAGAACATCATAAAGCCTTCCTCGCCGATGTCAGTGCTGGAGTAATTCTGAAAAACTACAAAGAAGCTTTTGCAGATGAAAGGTGGAAGAAGGCTGTGAAAGGTGAAGTTGATGCTCTCGAAATAAATTGAACATGGGATGTAGTGGATTTGCCTCCAGGAAAGAAACCAATTGGGAGTAAATTGGTCTTTACCATCAAATACAACGCAGATGGGACAGTAGAGAGATTCAAAGCGAGACTTGTATGTTGTGGAAATCACCAGATTGAAGGAGAGGATTATGAAGAGACTTTTGCACCGGTTGCGAAGATGGGAACGGTGAGAATACTATTGGAAGTTGCAGTGGCTAGACAGTGGGAAGTTCATCAAATGGATGTGAGTAATGCTTTTTTGCATGGAGAACTCGAATAGGAGGTGTACATGAGACTTCCACCAGGTTTTCAGTCGGAGAATCCAAATAAAGTGTGTCGTTTGAGAAAGTCTTTGTATGGATTGAAACAGGCACTAAGATGCTGGTTTGAGAAGTTGACAAAAGCATTGACGAGTTTTGGTTTTGTGCAATCATATGAGGACGCGTCATTGTTCAGTTTCGTGAAGGATGGGAAGAGTATTCATGTGCGAATTTATGTAGATGATTTGATCGTGG